GACCAGTCATTCTGGGGGCTCTTCATTGTTTGCATTCTGAAGTCTGTATCCCCAGTGGCTGACCTCCCAGGGGTCTGTGTGAGATCTATATTCTTCTTTTGGTTTTTCTTCATTTGTGTAGGTTTTCCTCCCTCCTTAATTGCCCCCGCACCTTAGTTCTGTTGTTCAGGGATGGGGTGGGGTAGCTTTTACTTCTGTTTGCTCAATCTCCTATTCTTCCTTATGTGGATCCTCTGGCTTTGTTCAGTTCTGAACTGGACTGTGGGGGGGGGGGTGCTGTACCTTTTGTAGTTTTGATATTTAATTGAGGGGGGCAGCTATGATTCAGAAACTATCTGCAGATCCCAGTATCCACTGACAGGTGTGTAGGTCCCCTGGAACCTACTTCCACTGACTTACAATCTGTCCATGTAGTGGGGATATAGATTTGCACCCCTGAAAACAAAAACAGACAGGTATACCAACTAACAAATGAAAAGAGATACAAAGACAGAAAAGATAAAAAACTAAAATACACACACAATCATACAAATACAGAAACTGACAAAAAAACCTCTACTGATGTACTCTCCCAAAAAATGCCAGTACCCAAACAGAAAGACTAAAAAACAATAAAATAATAGAAACAAAGCAAGTATGAAAACATAATTAAAAACAGAAAGAAAGAGAGAGCGGGAAAAAAACTAAAACAAAAAACAAACAATAAATGAGCAAACAAACAAAAAACTCACTCTGAGGTCATTCCTGTAAGTCCAACTTTCTTTCAGCTCTGCTCTCCAACCCCTCCCCTCTGCTGTCAGCACAGTCTGATAGGGTTGCTCTCAGCGTGGGTCAGATGCTCCAGGCCTACTGTGGGAGGAGGATGGATCAGACCTGGACTCACCCAGCTTGCTGCCTGTCAAGTCTCCCACTCTAACGCATCTGTGTCTGATCCACCGTGGGGGAGGAGCTTCTGTCTCTCCAAGTTTGATGAGATTACCTCAAGGCCCCAAGTTGGAGGCTGGGTGGAACTGGGCAGGGCAGTGCAGGTCCCTGTCTGGGCCCAGGACAGAGAAAATGGCTCCGGGTGGTGTTTCCTCACGAGCGGTGGTGGAGCTTTTCCCCACTTCTCCCGAATCTTCTCTCTCCGTGGATTAGGGTTCCAGCCACTTTTCTGTCACAGGTGATGGTGTGGGTTGGGTGCCAGGTGATGAGAATCAGCTGTATTTGGCAGGCTTTTCTCAGGAGAGTCCGGAGAACAGCAAACGATCCTGTGCACCAGCAGCTTTAATCTCAGGGTGGTGGGGAGTTGCACTCACCTCTGGAGGACAGCCCGAGTGTATGAACCCAAGTCTCCCCTCAGACGGACTTGCACCAGCTCGTACCCACTGATGCAGAGAGTCTTTATGGACACTTGCTTTTACAGAGACTGTCACAGTCTGACCTGTCCCATCGCCATCTTGGTAGAAATCCCTGAAAATTTTCTTAAGGAAATAATTTAATGTAGTGATTATATTTTTGAAAATATTTTTAAAGCACTTGCCAAATTTAATAGCATTATAAACTAATTGCCCAGTGGTAGGGACATGGCTAAGTATTTTATGAAATAGGAGCTCAACAGAATGTTGGAATAGTTATTGAAAATTATCAGTGTAAGCTGGGTGCAGTGGCTCAAGCCTGTAATCCCAGCACTTTGAGAGGCGGATGCAAGAGGATTGCCTGAGCTCAGGGGTTCGAGACCAGCCTGAGTAACATGGTGAGACCTCATCTCTATAATAAATCAAAAAGTTAGCCAGGCATGGTGGGACAGGCCTGTGGTTCCAGCTACTTGGAAGACTGAGGCAGAAGGATCACCTGAGTCCAGTAGGTCGAGGCTGTGGTGGTCGTGAGCATGCCTCTGCACTCCAGCCTGGACAACAGAGTGAGACTCTGACTCAAAAAAAAAAAAAAATTATCAATGTAAGAATGAGTAACAAAAAATAAAGATAGAAGTAGAATAAAATTCACTAAATGAATGATCAGTAAAAAATACTGATAACTTGAAGTGTTTTTGTTTTTTGGGGTTTTTGGAGTTGGCATCTCACTCCGTCATCCAGGCTGGAGTGCAGTGTCAATGTGCTAGCCTCATCCTTCCAAGTAGCGGGTACTACAGGTGTGTGCTACCACCCCAGCTAATTTATTTATTTATTTTTTTATTGTAGAGATGAAGTCTCGCCAAGTTGCCCAGGCTGCTTTTGAACCTGCAGGCTCAGTCAAGCCCCTCACTCCGGCCTCCCAAAGTACTGGGATTACAGGCTTGAGCCACCGTGCCCAGCCTAAGTGGCTTTAAATATAGCAAGATATGCTTAGATGAAGACATTAAGAGGTTAAATTTTTGTAAAATAGCTAAGTAGTAAATAAAATATAGGTTTTCCCTTACTTAGTTATTGATAAGGAAGCTTAGACTCACTAAGTAAGAAAAGCAAAGCGTCATGGGTTGTCTATCCATTCTGCAATAGGATTGGTCTGTACCCTCTGACCATCATAAGGGACAGGAATTTTTATTGTCTGTTTTAGAAAGAGTCAAATATGACAAATTTAGCTTATAGTCAAACTCAGGTAACTTCTAGGGAGACTACCAAGAGTATTGCAAAGTCCAAGACTTTACCTGCATCTTTGGGTAGTTTAATTTAGCCAGGCAGATGGCTAATTTATTTTGCTAACTTCTGTGGAGATGCTTGAGTGATTAAAAACCTTCTAGTGCCGGGCATAGTGGCTTAAATTTGTAATCCCAGCACTTTGGAAGGCCCAGGCGAGAGGATTGCCTGAGCCCAGGGATTTGAGACCAGCCTGGGCAACTTGGTGAGACCTCATCTCTACAATATATCAAAAAATAAGTCAGGCATGGTAGCGCATGTCTGTAGTTCCGGCTACTTGGAAGGCTGAAGCGGAAGGATCGCTGGCTCCCAACAGGCTGATGCTGGAGTAGCCGTGAGTGTGCCACTGCACTCCAGCCTGGCAACAAAGAGAGACTCTGACTCAAAAAAAAAAAAGGTCTTCTAATTACTGTTTAACTGCATAATGGGAACTTTTGTCTGTGAACTGTTGTGTTATACATGTATACATGTGATGAGAACTGCTGTAAGCTATATGTATGTTCTAAGGTCAGAAGCATCTTTCTCCTGAAGGAGAAAATAGAAAGGTTTACTGTAAGTGTGGTGTGTGGATTAAGGACTTAAGCCTTAGAGGCAGACAGATCTGGGTTCAAATCCTAATTCCTACACCTTGTGGAAGTTACATAATTGTTTCTCTTTTCTCATCTAAACAGTGAGAACAAACATAGTACTTATTCAAAGACTGATACAGGTTGGGTTGTAGGAGTGAATGAAATGAAATAACATATGCAAATGTAGCACAGTGCCCTGCAAATAATGAGCTCTCAAAGCTCTTCTTATTATTAGAAAGATTGAGATTGACTTTCTTATTCTAAAACTGGTTGGCAGTGTCAACCTGAACAATTTACTTAATCTCCTTGAACCTCCATTTCCTCATCTGTAAAACAGTGCTAATACCTTCCTCTACTGGGTTGTATAACATTAAACAAAGTAACATATAAAGCACCTGCATATTATGGTGTTCTATAAAGAAGTAAAGGTGTCTCTCTTAAAATATCCTCCACCACACACACACAAAAAGCTTTAGTTCAAATATGGATGAGCTCTTTACTGTTGAAGACTATGATATCATTTGGAATGGGTTTCCAAATCTAGTTACTATTTTATTTCTATCCCTTACCTGATGCTGGTGATAACACTATTTTCTCTGTGGTTTTAGGGTTACTTACCAAACTTTAAGAATACTCATTCCATACTGTATTTTTTAGAAACTTGCAATGAGCCTGACCAAGTACATTTATGTATAAGATTTAAAAAGGCAGGCTAATGCTTCTCAGTATCTCAAACCCATTCACCTTTACTTTCATTATCAGAAACAAGTTTAAAGCTGAGTTATTACACAAAAATGACTGCTGAGCAGAGAGTGCTAAAAATCTATAAGGGAACACATCTTTCTTTCTCTGTTTTTTGTTTGTTTGTTTTGAGTCAGTCTCACTCTGTCACCCAGGCTGGATTCCAGTGGCACAATCATGGCTCCCTGCAGCCTCAAACTCTTGGGTTCAGGTGATGCATCAGCCTCAACCTCCTGAGTAGCTGGGACTGCAGGTGCACACTACCATACCTGGCTCATTTTTTGTTTTTTGTAGAGATATGGTATCACTATGTTGCCCAGGCTGGTCTCGAACTTTGGCGCTCAAGCCATCATCCCGCCACAGCCTCCCAAAGTGTTGGGATTACAGGCATGAGCCACCATGCCTGGTGGGACACGTATTTTTAATATCACATACCCCAGTTTTTATGACTAGCTGTTCAAGCACAAAGGCCTCACTGGTTAGGCAGTCCCAAGATTAAAAAAATATTGACAGCTGGGCTCGGTGGCGCAGCCTGTAATCCCATGCCTTTGGGAGGCTGAGGTGAGTGGATTGCCTGAGCCCGCGGGTTTGAGGCCCACCTGGGTAGGCGAGACCTCATTTCTACAATAAATCAAAAAAATTAGCCAGGTGTGGTAGCGCGCGCCTGTAGTTCTGGGTCCTTGGAAGGCTGAGGCAGAAGGATTGCCGGAGCCCAGCAGGTCGAGGCTGCGGTGGCCGGGAGTGGCCACTGCACTCCAGTCTGGGCGACAGTGAGACTCCAACTCAAAAAAAAAAAAAAAAAAATTGCCAGATAAATATTTTGAAGGAACAAGAAATTTCTATATACAAAGTTTCAATCTAGAAATATTTCCAAGTTTTTAGTAAACTTATTTTTTGGAAGTACTTTTAAATTTTTGACATAAATATCAGCTTTTAAAAACAGTTTCTGTGTAAAGCTTGCATTTCTCAATGCTCTTGCTCATAATAGATTTTTTTTCAAATGGCTAATTCAGAATAAATTACTTCTCTACTTTGCATAAAGCTAATTAGTTGGGGGGTTATTTTCCTTCAACAGATCAATCTGCAACTATTGTTTCCATAAAAGATGAAGATGAGAATAAATTTGTGAGCAGACTGATGAGGGAAAATAATAATATTACCATGAGAGTTTGGCTTGGATTATCTCAACCTTCTGTTGGTAAGTGACATGATTGTGTGTGCATTGTGCAAAGAGAGTTCTAACTTGTCCTAAATACTATGTCAACCTTGCTAAAGAATGTCAAGTGGTAGCTAATTCAAGTGCTTCTTATTGATAAATAAACTAGGTTTGCTGCTTGTTCTGGTGACTTACAAATTTTGCATGATTATACAAGTAACTTATTAGTCATGATGGAAACCACAAATAAAGTAGAAAATCAGGTTGAGTCAACTGGAATTGTTCTAAAATCTTATTCCAAAGATACTTGGATCAATATCAGGATATTTTTTTCTGCTACAGCAGTGTCTGTGTCCCCCATGTCCCCATAAGGAACCAATGGCTTATTTCCCTTACAATTCTAGTGCCTATCACCCCCATGGATTACAATTTATAACTCTGTTATTCAGGAAGTAATCTTGCATTCCCTTTCCTCCTAGAATATTTTCATTATTGATCAAAATTGTCTTTATAGCAGCTTTTTCCAAACCAGTTTAGTAAAATTGCAGATAACTGATTAGAAAATAATTTGTAGAAAAATTTTTCAATAAGGAATAATAGAATTTTTCAGTAAGGAATAATAAATATAGTAAAGAATGCATTAAGAGTACATACCTGATAGAAAAACAGGAATGCAAAACTGAACTTTAAATTATTAAAAGAATGTAAATTATAAAATGGTGTGTATCATTTTATAAAACGGCAAGTCAGAAAATAAATGGATTTAAAGTTAGCCATCTAAAATGAACTGTAAGTTGTGTTTACACTTTCACCACAAGGTGGTGCCACCATAGCTGGAAAACAAAATGGAGCCGTGATGGGGGTTGGGGTGGGAAGCTCCTGGACTTTTCTCTTCCACCAGCATATCCTTAATGATACAAGTTTTTAAATCGAGTCAAGAGGAGGAAATATGTCCTTAGAAATCTATCCCTCACACAATAAATGTGCAAGACTTCTGCCCTTAACTCAAAATACCATGTTCTATTATCAGTGCTGCCAATAGAACTTTCTACACAGACAAAAATGATGTATATCTGCAGTGTCCATTACAGTAGTCACTGGCCACATGTGGCTAGTGAGCACTTGAAATGTGACTAGTGCAACTGAAGGACTGATTTAAATTTTTTTTTTTTCATTTCTGTAATTGGACAGCACAGTTCTGATGAGTTATATGGACCACATGCTTTTAACTGAGTCATTTAGTGGCAATAACTACAGTTGTATATATTTCTTCCTTCAGATGAGTCTTGGAGTTGGTTAGATGGGTCAGAAGTGACATTTGTCAAATGGGAAAACAAAAGTAAGAGTGGCAATGGAAAATGTAGCATTTTGTTAGCTTCAAATGAAACTTGGAAAAAAGTTGAATGTGCATATGGCTTTGCAAGAGTTGTCTGCAAGGTTCCTGTGGGTAAGTATGTAACCTGTCCTCAAGAGAACTTTTTGCAGAACCAGTCAAGTAATATATGTCCAATCCAATTATGTACCAAGTTTTGTACTTGGGCCTGAAGTATTTGCTCTTTAAAAGTACACCCAAAATTTGTGATTAAATCATAGAGATTTTTACCCCTGAAAAATAGATTACAAGGGACAGTAAATGCACAAGATGTCTGGGGCTCCCAAAGGCAACTGTCTATACTTTATGTAATTCTTTCCTAAGAACAATGTACGCTGGTAGAGCGTTAGGGAAGTAATTTCTTTGAAAACGTTATTGAGCTGTATTTTATTCTATAGTTTGATTATGCATAGGCTTAAAGGTCTATTTCTGCAGTTAATTTGCTTCCTTTCTTCCCATTTCCATAAAACTCATGATTAACTTAAAAACAACACAAAACTAGATTTAATTACTTAAAACATTCAGGGTATAAGAACTCATCACTGGAATTTGTATTTCATCATGGATTGATACATAAAATAATCATAAATATATTATCTCAACTTCATATCTGGAGAAAGAGCTCTAAAGTTTTCACAGTAACTTTTTTTTTTTTTGAGTTGGAGTCTCATTCCATTGCCCAGACTGGAGTACAGTGGCCACTCCCAGCCACCGCAGCCTCGAACTGCTGGTCTCCGGCGATCCTTCCGCCCCAGCCTTCCAAGTAGCCGGAATTACAGGCATGCGCTACCACTCCCGGCTGATTTTTTAATTTATTGTAGAGATGAGGTCTCGCTGCCCAGGCAGGTCTCGAACCCGCGGGCTCAGACAGTTCACTCACCTCAGCCTCCCAAAGCGCAGGATTACAGGCCGAGCCACCAAGCCCGGCTCACAGTAACATTTTTAAAGATCTAGCATAAAAGTGTTTCTTTTGGTGTATAAATATTAAAGATAAAACCCCAATTCTAGGTAATCAGTATCTTTATGAACATTCATTGATTCAGCAAATATTTATTTATTTGTTATTTATTTGTCTTGAATCGAGGTCTCACTCTGTTGCCCATACTGGAGTACATAGGCATGATCATGGCTCACTGCAGCCTCGATCTCTTGGGCTCAGGTGATCTTTCCGCCTCAGCCTCACAAGTAGCTGGGACTACAGGTGTGTGCCACCATACCTGAGTAATTTTGTTATTTTTTTTGTAGAGATGAGGTCTCACTATGTTGCCCAGGCTGGACTTGAACTTCTAGCCTCAAGCAATCCTCCTGCCTCAGCCTTCCAAGTCCTGGGATTACAGGCATAAGCCACTGTGCCTGGCCTGATTCCACAAATATTTAGAGTATCTACCATATGTCATGCTTTAGTCTTTGTGCTGGGATGCAGCTGTGAACGATACAGACAAGGTATCTGTTCTCATAGAGATTACAATCTGGTAAAGAAAGACAGATAAGTAAACAAGTAACCAGTTTTTGAAAGAGAGGAAAATATCAAATAGTTATAAACTCTATGTGATGGAGACTAGGTGGATGGCTAGGTTATCAGGGAAGTTGTTTAAGAGCAGCAGACACTGAAGCTGAGATCTAAAAATTTGCTAAGTAATGATCAGGAGAAAGGGCATAAAACAGGCAGAGGTACCGGCCACAACAAAGAGCCTGAGGCAGAACAAGATTGCTGAGTGCTCAAGGAAGGTTGGAAGGGGAGTAGGTGCCAGACACATAGGACTATGGAAGCAGTGGTCCAAGAGTTCTGGTTCTACTCTAAGTGTAATAGATTTTTGAGGGTAGGAGGGAGCAGAGTTAGGGTGGTGTAAATCAAGAATTCTGTGTTTGGCTGGGCATGGTGGCTCATGCCTGTAATCCTAGCACCTTGGGAAGCCCAGGCAAGAGAATCACTTGAGGCCAGGAGTTCAAGACCACGTCCCTCCAAAAAAAAAAAAAAAATAGCTGGGCGTAATGGCACATACCTGTAGTCACAGCTACTCAGGAGGCTAAGATGGAAGGATACCTTGAGCCCAGGAGTTCGAGGCTATAGTGAGCCAGGATTGTGTCACTGCACTCCAGTCTGGGTGACATAGTGAAACTGAGACTCAAAAAAAATAAATGATAAAAATAAAGAGTTCTGTGTTTGCCATTTTCAGTTTTTCCTATGGAGATGTGACTTCCACATGGATATGTCAAATATGGAGTAGGACATATGACAGAAAAAGGGAAGTCGGCATAGAGATGGTATATAAAGTCATGGAGCAGAAAGAACCCGTCAGCCTGCAGAGAAGGGGCCAGGGACAGCAACTGAAGCTGAATAGCCAGGCAGTTAATAAGGTCATCCTGCAGGGTCAAGTCATTTTACAGCAAATGCTACTCTGTTTGACCTGGATATGTCAAACAAAAATGTACAGCTTTTAGCAATCTGCTATCAGAGTAGAATAATATATGGGTAGTGATATTCCCAAAAAGAGTGTTGGGAAGGAAATATGAAAATAAAGTACTTTAAATTTTTTTGAAGACAATTCCTATAGCAATGAAGAGAATTTGAATGAAAAGGGGAACACTTAAACTTGAAAAGAAAGCACTGAAGTGTTTGATGATGAGTTTGAATTCTATGTTAATGCTATGAAACAATCAAGTATTTATTGCATATAATTTATACACAGCTTACAAGTTCATGTAACACCTTAATGTATAAAATAAATAATGATGATCACTTTTGCATTCTCTCCTCAACCCCAAACCGTCTCCTATTCTAGGCCCTGATTACAAAGGAATAGCTGTCATTTTTGCGGTGCTAAGTGTTCTGGCTCTCATCAGCGGACTGATTTGGTTCATCTTGCAAAGGAACCAGTTCCACTGGGCAGGCTTCTCATCAGTTCGGTACGAACCAGGAGTGAATGAAGATGAGATTATGCTTCCTTCCTTCTATGACTAAAAAGTTCTTCTAAAAAGTTTGCTAATTTGCACTAATATGTTAGGAAACATGAGCCACTTAAAGTTTTCCTAGTGTCAGTATTTGCTCTGTTCCAAAGTAGAAGCCTTAAGTACTTTTTTCAGTTGTTTAGATCTTAGGCATGTGCTGGTGTCCACAATTAATGCCACATCTCTAACTCTGATTAATAGAATGGAAAAGACTTGAAACTGGAACTGAAGTCCAAATTGTTTGTAGAGTAAAAAGTTTGATGTGCATGTCTCTGTGTGAATGTGGTTGGCAACTAGGATATGTATATTTTAATGGAATTTTTAATAAAATTTTTTAGAAAATTCAAATAGGCATATGACTAGGTTATGCATCTACTTTTTAATTTTTAAGAACATCCAGAAAAAAGCAAAATTAGTACCTCCAGGTAAAAATCTAATTGTAAATAGTATCAGCATTGTTTCAAAATAGCTGTAGCATTTGGAACAAAATATTAAAAATGAGACATGTTTACTTTTTACACAGCAAAATGATGACACCTCTTGTCAAGATACTTCTTGTACTATTCCAAAGATATTTCATACCAACATTATTTACGTGTAAAGACTCTGTTTATAATTATTCATAAAACAATGGCGTTTCAGAATTTCGCATTTAACATTTTCTAAAAGTGTGAAACACGAATTAGATCCCCTGTAGCAGTGTGTTTTGTCTTTTCTGATGTAGTACATGTGACTGTTTCCTTAAGGGAATCAACTAGGTATAAGAATGTTGACAATATTATAATTTATACAACTTTGACTAATAACTTTGTTACCCTTTTACATGAACCAAACAGAGAAGGAGTTCATGAAGGAACTTTGTATTTGTAAAAATAAGAATTTTTGAATGAAAGCCTAAAACTTGTGATTACTACTAAAATGTTAATATTATGAATGATTAAGGCAACATTATTTTGTGGTTATCACGTTAAATTTTGACATTTTAATTATATACTTAATAATAGTATCCGCTGGACAAGGTATATGTTTTATTCAGCGTTTAACTTTTATTTGTACTTTAGGGTATTTTTGTATAAAATCCATAGATTTATTTTAAGTTTAGAGTGTTTATACTATAATAAAGTCGTAAATAATTTTCTAAGACAATTTAATAATGTCTACAGCTGTCTTGAAATTTTTTATTGAATTGGCTAGACTTGTTCTCTTGTCCTAAAATCTGTACAATTTTAGTCATTAAGACATTCCTTAAATAACTAAGCCAACTTGATGTGAAAAGTACAGCTGTATATAGTGTTGATGCTATAATAAAGTTGTTTTCTTTTATCTTTTAAATAAAAGTGTTGGAGTTGATACTTATTGAAAAAACTCTAGATTGGGCTTTATTATGTTGGGCACATAGTATGATGAGAAATAAAATATCCAGCTATTGTAAATCAAGACCTCTTTTAAGAGATTTTTAAGAAATGTTATAGGAGGCCTTTAATACATATGCATTTCTTTTTTATTTGTTAACCTATATCATTAAAAACGATAACATATTAATACATTCATGTTCTACAGCCATTGATTGGAGAACTTTTTTAAAAGACAAAAAACAGACTGCTTTTGCATATAGTTTAAGGATTTCTAAATTCTTATTTAATCTGTGCCACTTTTTATCAGGAAGGAACTGTGATTCTCTTTTGGCAGGTGAGAAAACTCCCTTTAAGAGATTTTGTGTGCATTTTTTTTAAAAGGATAAATATTATCATTCCTATATCTCTGAATTTTGATTTTAGTGTCTTTTTTCAGATTCATCTTTCTCAGTGTGTCTTTTAACTACCAGTATCAGCAGAGATTTCACCTATGTTCCACTTATTTCTTATTCTTTGTGCTCCTCTTGGGAGATCCTGTCCACCCCCTCCCCTCTAAGGCGTCCAACAACCATTTCTAAGCTAATAGTTCAAATATATAGTTCCAGGTTTGTATTTCCAACTACCCACTGGACAATCTGCATGGAAATCCTTCTCAACATGTCTAGAACTGCTATATCATTTTTCCTCCCTTGTTTCCCGTGTTCCAAATGTCTTAGACAGCCATTTCCAGTCTCCCCTAACTAACCCAACCACTGCATGTGGTCTGACAAAATTATCTCTAAAATGAGGCACCTAGAAAACAAGTAATAGACTTAATGATGAGATATAGGGCCTAATACAAAAGTGATTCCAATCATTGTCCCCCTTTTCCCCTGCCCTCAGATGCAGCGTGGTTCCATCCTTGGTCCTAGGACAAGATATTTTAATTATCGGGAAATTCTCCTTTGCAAATAGCTGCTTTAGTCTTAGTAAGCCCCCAGTCCTGACACCATTGCTGAGATTTTTCTAGAGAAAATCAGAAGTTCAGAGTCTTTTGTTTAGGCTCATTTAATCCTAAAACTCTCTTGGAGAAGCACATAGCTAATTGTTATTAATTGGTTCTACAACTTTATCTTGCTTAAGAAAAATTTAACTAGTTCTTAAAATAAAGACTTCTTAATAGACACCGTGATCTGTGCAGTTACTTCTTGCTCCCTATATATTCCAAATTAAAACATTCTGACTATATCTACATCTTAACAAATTTAGCATTCATGTATTTTCCTTTTCCCTAAGTAGAACATGAGAAATTTCTTTTCAGTTCCCTCAATCATTTCTTCCTTTTTAAGTTTTTTCAGTTAATGTGAAGAAACCATACTCTGTCTCTCAAGCAGGAAAGCCAGAAATTATCCCCAAATCCTCTCTTTCTCAGCCCCTAATCCAATAATTCTGTCCATTTTACCTCAGACTTTTCACAAAACTGGCTGTCTCCATTGGCAACTGTATCATTTCAGGTCTTTATTCTGTTTTTCCTCCTGGATAATTTGCACCAACCTTTTCACTGGTCTTCCTCATCAACCTTTTCCCTCCATCCTATCTTCACCATTCCTGGGCCTGCGGGAGCTGAAATACAGAGAGGAGGACTCACCCTCTGTTTTGGTCTCAAGTTATCTGGGCCTTTCTCAGGTCAAGGGGTATTCAGCAGTGCCAAGCCCGGGGACCTTTCCTAGGGACCCTATGTGGGTTGGTGGTCAGTCCTGAGAAGACTGAGGTCTTAGTTCTCTAGTCAAATTCCCTTTTAGTATAATGTAGAATCAAGCTGATATTGACCCAACTGCTTAACAATGGAGAGGTCAACTCAGATAAAACTGGATTCCAGAGCTGCTTTTCTACCTCACTGCTAGCCATGCCTAGTTTGAAATAGATCAGATATACTATCTCATTAATGTGTGGCCCATCTTTTAATAAGCATGTTCTTTTTATTGTGGCTAAATATGCATACCATACACTCTGCCATTTTAACCAGTTTTGAGTGCACAGTTCCATGACATTAAGACCATTCATTGTCAGGCATGGTAGCACGTGCCTGTAGTTCCAGCTACTTGGAAGGCTGAGGCAGAAGGATCCCCAGAGCCCAGCAGGTCGACACTGGGGTGGACATTGAGTGTGCCACTGCACTCCATCCTGGGTGACAGAGTGAGACTCCAACTCGAAAAAAATAAAAAATAAATTAAATAGACCATTAATATTGCCGTACAACCATCATCACCATCCATCTATAGAACTCTTCACCTTCCCAAACTGAAACCCTGTATCCATTAAACAGTAACTCCCCATTACCTCCTCTGTCTCCAGTCTCTGGTAACCACCATTGTGCTTCTTGGCTCTATGAATTTGACTACTGCGTTACCTCGTATAAATTGGAATTGTTCTTATTTCACCTACTATAATGTCTTCAATGTTCACTCACGTTGTAGCATGTACTAGAATGTCCTTCCTTTTAAAGGTAAGTAAGTATTCCATTATATGTATCACAGTTTGTTTATCTGCTCATCTTTTGCTGGACACTTGGGCTGCTTTCACCTTTTGACTATGTGAATAATGCTCTTCTGCAAACATAATGTTCTTCTACAAATAACTGTTAGAGCCCTAACAGGCATATTATTTGGTGGTGCACAGATATATACATCGAGACCTGAACTAGGGAAAGCAGTGTAATGTGAACGTACATATAAAGACAATAGTACAGTAAGTCTTCACTTACCAATGTTGATAGGCTCTTGGAAACTGCAACTTGAAGCAAAACAACATATAATGAAACCAATTTGACCATAAACTAATTGATATAGACAAGAGTTAAGTTCCTACAGCATATTTATGGTCACAAAAACATCACAAAACATATAAATAAAGACCTAAAACACATCTAAAATTAAACATTGAAGCAGATGTGAGCTTTACATGCATTTAAGAAAGATGAACAAAAACAAGTGAGAATGATTTATCCAATTTTTGGTGAATCAATGAATGATGTTGGTCACAGTGGTGGTGGATGAAAGCGAGGAATAAATGTTTGCAAAGCAAAAATTGCAAAGTGTCCCTCCTTGTTGGGAGCCGGCCACGGAGGCCCACTGAGCATTAGGGATCAGGAAGGGCCGTTGACCCCGAGACCACTAGGATGCATTCGGGAGCTATTGACCCCATTTCCTCCCCCTTTCTACTCAGCACTAACCAGATTAAGCTCCTGTGAGCTCAAAACATAGAAACTCTGAGACCGGGACGAACACAAGCTAACTTTAGAAGCTCATTGCTCCCATTCTTCCACAAACTGCAGTTTTGGCTTTCACACAACTTATAATTCAAACTCATGTCACATCGAAGAGCCTTAGTATTGGTCACAGGCTTCTGGGTCATGATCTTAGGATTTATTGAAGGTGTAAATTGTAGAATACAGTTTTGGAAGACAGACAGTCATTTTGTTGAAAGAATGCAGCTGGGTTACTTGCAGGTAGCCCACTGTGAACTTTGGACTGGGCCACATTCCAAACATTCTGCAATGGGCCACTTTTGTTTGTAAAGTAAATACTTAAGCTTCTATAGAATTGTTTAACTTGGCATAAGTCAATCAGTTTAGGATGAAAAAAGTTTATAGAATATGTCAGTCACAGATTAGGTTATCCTTTGTTATGGGATGTTAAGATTATCATATGAAAAGGGTTTAAAGGCAATCATTGATTAAGTTTTCATGGATTAAGGTTTCTGGTGGGTGGGGGACGCCCCTCCCACATCTGACTTTGTGTATAAAAGACCCGTTGTAATTCCCAAATACACACACATCGCTTCTGCACTAGACTGGAGTCCAGTCTCTTTCTTTCTCTCTCTCTCTTTCTTCTTCCCCCCAATCGCCGACACTGTCTCCACCTTAGGGGTACCCTGAATCCGGATGGAGCTGGTCACCGGCACCTCCTACCACCACACAGTTCAAAAACAAGTAATAACAAATATGGTGGCTCACTGAGTGCTTTTGTATTGCATCACTTATTGTCATGTATTTGTATGCTTATCATATAATTTACAAATTTTATTTTTTTTAAAAATTGGATTCTTGCAATTAGGAGACCCCTGATGATCTTAACCCATGGAAATGCAGCAGAGTGGTAGACTCAGAATTCAGATGGGAGTGAGAGAGTTGAAAAGTGAAAGGGAAATGAGGACCGTGAGGTTTTGAGGAGTATGGTAGAGATGGAATGGAGAGGGAAGGGACTGGGCTGTAGCTACAGGAGGAAAAAGGATTGCAAAAGTGTTTTCTCTGAGGAAGGCGGGAAGGAAGTTCACAGGTTAGAAGCTGAGGGGGAAAAAAAAACCAAATAGTGAACAGAGAGGAGTTAATGATGCAGGAGAGAGGGGGTGGTCAGTAATAGAAAAAGATTCTGGAGAAGACGAGATGGAGAAAAAGGTCTAACAGCAAGAAGAACTAGATTAGCATGGGGTGGGAGTAGCGTGCCTTTCTGTCTGAGGCTGCAAGAGTAGACTTACAGATGAACATCTGAAGATGTTTGTCTATACCTGATGGTCCCCATTTTCTTGATGAGTACCAGAGAGCGAGATCTGCTGGGAAATACAGGGGTAGCAGATGGGGTCTTTTTTTAAAAAAAAATTGTGTGTGGGTGTGTGTCAGAGACAGGATCTTGCTCTGTCACCCAGGCTGGAGTGTAGTGGCCCAAACATGGCTCACTGCAGCCTTGAACTCCTGAGTTTAAGAGATCCTCCTGCCTCAGCCTCCTGAGTAGCTGGGCTACAGATATGCACACCACTAAGCCCAGATAATTTTTTATTTTTATTGTTTGTAGAGACAATCTTACTGTGTTATTCACGCAAGTTGTGCTGGCCTCAAGTAATCCTCCCTCTTTAGCTTCCCCAAATCCTGGGATTACCAGCATGAACCATCGCGCCTGGCCTGGGTCTTAACTTGAAAAAAGTAATAGAAAATCGAAA